TGTTTCAATTCCATACACATCTAATGATTGTAAGGAATGTCATGCAGCAATGTAGTGCTTATAGAACTAAAATCTCTTGTTTTAAGATGTCCTCTTCCAAACATGTACCGTCTGTGATGTATGTGTACTCATGTAGTTTTGGGACGTAAATATCTTGAAAAAACAGACATGTTAATTTTCAAATTTTGTTGAAAATGTAAGCACTGTAAAGGCCGAAAAAAAAATTGGGCAGGACGGTGGTGCGTTTCCTCCTTTTATAAGCGCAGAAAATAAAATAAAGTTATAATATATAAAAAAAATACCTTATTTTTTGATCCATCGAAGTACTACTATAGAAAAACCGATTCATCTGTTTCCTCGCTTACTCGCCTTGTCAAATTCTCCATCCACTTCTTGACTGCTGTTAGATTCTTCAAATGCTTCTTGGAATGAAGTCCAGCTGAACTGAAAAAAGAAACAAAACATTATTCAAAATATAATATTTTTGAAGATGCACTTTATAATTGAATATTACCCTTAAAAAAAGGGTCAGATTTCGTGTCTATTGAATCGCCTGTTCACAGCTTATTAAATTTTATTTTCAACAATTCACATTACTTACCAATATATGAATATCGTTTTAAATTTAATTAAAGTTTGAAGAAAGCAAGACTAAGGCACAAAAGATCTGAGCAGAGAAGAAAAGAGTTTTGAACATTAAAAGGTACAAACTTAAGATCATAGTGCATCTTTTTAAAAAGCAGAGGACATAAATTGCTGCCTTGTATTACGCCATTCAGTATGAGACCTGTAAGACTTTTAGCATTTGATAATATGACAAATTGGAAGCGATACATCAAGTAATCAGAAAAGAGCTTTAAATCAATACCTCTGATTCCCAAGTTTTGAATTTTTAAGAAATGACTCGTTTATACTGTTAAATGCCTTGGAAACACCAAATACCACAATCTTGTTTTTAACCTTTGCCTTTGATATAGTGCTTATCAATGTACAACAAGCATCTTGGTTTTCATAATGGTTCCAATTGCAATATCGCATTTCATTATACTGCTTGTTCTTAAAATTAATTCCTCAATCTAGTCTTGTTAATTGTAAGTACTAAAAATATTACTCTATAGCTATCTGTAGTCACAATCTGTTTGCTTCCACCTTTATGAATTGGTTTAATTCATGCTATTTTTTAAAAATGGCAACATTTTCCATTTAAACTTTTGTCACTTCCAGGAGTTTTACTTACTGTCATTTTTGTTCTAAGCATATTAGAAACTGGAAGGAGCTTGATGATATTTATCAATGGTTCTTTAAGATATGTTACTGAATTTGATTATCGACAAACTGCGAACTAATTTTATATTGAGACGCTTCTTAAATTACTTTACAAACATTACGCCATCAACAATTAAATTCGAGAAATAAATTTGTGCATTTATATCGTTATGACCGTTATGATAGCATTAAGGAAGCTAGTATCGCAGATCACAATATAAGTTTTTAATAATTCACTCGTGCTTCCTAATCATTTCAAAATATCTTCCGTTTTAAATTTAAATCAAAAAAAATTGGGATCACTTGCCTCAACATAATTGATCCATTGATCACAGTTTTGATCACTTCTCTTCATTGTTGTTGATTCAGTTCACGAAAATTTTCGCTTTATGAAAAACAGTCGATGCTCCAAAATTGACGCTGAATTAGCTTGATGAATTGTTGCTGATAAACAGTTCTTCACAATGATAAAAAGTTGATTGAATCTTATTGATTAAATCTTGTTCCTTGAAACTTGCTGTTGATTATTTTTTGAAGATGAAAATTTGTTGTAAATTTTTCGATGCACTATTTTTCAATGAAAACTATTGAATTAAAGAAAACTTTTTCCAAAGTTGCTTTGATACTTTTCTCCGCATTTTACAATATGAAAAGTCAAGCTTAATTCTTTTGCTGAATTTCTACGCATTTAATGCTTTGAAGCTTTTTAACAGAAATTCAAAATTTGAAATACTTTGTTTTGAAACAATCAGTTAAGCTAAAATCGAAGAATATTCAACACTGAAAGAAAAATCTATCAAAAATCACTTGTTACAATATGTTACAACTCACCCCCCCCCCCCCCCCCCCCTGAACGTTGATAATTAGTGAAACAGGCCGCATCTTATAGATTGAGATTTCCTTAGATTTGTGCCATTTAAACTGCAAGGATATCGTAAACAATCTTCAACTTTTCAATTGACATCCATTAAAATTTAAATCTTAGAACACAAAATTGCACAATCTACAAATAAGCATCCACATCTATTTTAATCCAACTTCACAATAAAGTTTCCCTTAATAACTAGCTGAAAATCAATGTCAACGCGTTGTTTTCTTCATATCCAACATCGATTTTAAAGCATATTATTCTTGCTGGAAAATTGCCGGAGGTAAATTAAATCTGTAATATCCATAATTGAACTGAATCTCGATCCATTACTCTCACTATTAGTGATAATAGACAGAAGCTACGTGCATTTTCAAGGATATAATCATTATTAATAAATTGATGTCCACGTTAGTGACATTTTTATCGATTTGTGTATAAAAATGGAAATTGCGGATCTAAAACTATTTTTTCCTGCTTCTGAATTGTCAACGACTTTTGGGCGAAAAAAACAGGTGGTTCTAGTTTCATAATGATAGCATGTTGCAGATAAGTTTTTAAAACCTTTGATTTTTGTTGATGAAAATGCTCAGTTTTATTAGTGTTATATAATTTTACCTTTATTGTATTAAAATGGTTACTTTTAAAGCTTATAATATCAAGGAACATGCTAAAAAGTTTAAATTAAATCATGCAAAATGTAAAGTCACAACTAGTGTATCGGGTAGAAACCCAATGCGGATATATTCACACCGTACCATCAAAAGTCTTATGGATAGATGAAGTACGGCCAAAACCCATATCGACATAGTTCAAAAGATATACCTAATTTATGTCATAATTATGTCAGCTACAAAAACAATTAGTTTGAAGTTTGTCACCCTCGGTAACACTATGAACCAGTATAGCTGATTTTGGTTCAAATCTCGGCCATACTTCACACTTGTTCGAACCACATTTTCTCGTAAATGTTAAAATATTATTAAAAAGTAATTAATCCTAAATTATGTCGCTATTTTGTCAAGTGTTTTAAGATAAAGAAAATTTTTTTCGTTTCCACAGTGAAGAGTATGAACAAAATTCAGATGGGGTTGTCGAAATTTTAGCTTTCTATTTTTTTAAGCTATGTATTGCAAAAAATAATATTGGTATGTGATTTATGTCAGAATTATGTCAATTCAAATAAAACAATTTTCAATTTTGGACTAGGGGCGACCCTAGTCAAAATCAATTTTGTCACTTTTTTTCTTCGAGGGTTTATCCAAATGGATTGAAACTTTGCATAAATATTTTAATGCTTAAAAACAATACAAATAAAACATCCAAAAATTTTTTTGAGCAAAGAACCAAGGAGGAAATACAATTTCAATTTTGGACTAGGGGCGACCCTAGTCAAAATCAATTTTGTCACTTTTTTCTTCGAGGGTTTATCCAAATGGATTGAAACTTTGCATAAATATTTTAATGCTTAAAAACAATACAAATAAAACATCCAAAAAATTTTTTGAGCAAAGAACCAAGCAGGAAATACATTTTCAATTTTGGACTAGGGGCGACCCTAGTCAAAATCAATTTTGTCACTTTTTTCTTCGAGGGTTTATACAAATGGATTGAAACTTTGCATAAATATTTAAGTAAAAAATTTTAAATAAAACATCCTAAAATTTTTTTGAGCAAAGAACCAAGTAGGAAATACAATTTCAATTTTGGACTAGGGGCGACCCTAGTCAAAATCAATTTTGTTACTTTTTTCTTCGAGGGTTTATCCAAATAGATTGAAACTTTGCATAAATATTTTAGTGCTCAAAACAAATACAAATAAAACATCCTAGGAAATACATTTTCAATTATGAACTTGGGACAGGTCCAGTCAAAATCTAGTTTTTCACTTTTTTTTTCTTCAAGGATAAATCCAAATACAGTAAAACTTTGTATGAACATTCTAATCCTCAGGTCACACATTTCTGAATTAACAAAAATCATTTTTTTGGACAAAATTTTAAGTCACGTTGTTTTTGAATGTACAACCAAATTTATAAAATTTGGGTCTGACGACATATAGAATACATTTCTTGCTTTAGATATTTAAAACTGTTTTGTATAAATATTAGTATACTCGCACAAAGTTTCACTGTAATTGGATAAACCTTCGAAGAAAAAAAGTGAAAAACTAGATTTTGACTAGACCTGTCCCAAGTTCATAATTGAAAATGTATTTCCTTCTTGGTTCTTTGCTCAAAAAAATTTTTTTCATCCAAAGTTTAATTTAAAATAAAAAAAAATCACAGTGAACTTTTAATTTGAAAAATTCGTAAGAAAGGAAATTGTTTTGCTTTTTCTGAAGCAACGGCCGTTCCTACCTTGCCCAAAAACAATACAGCTCTTCTATAGAGCAGCACGGATCAAATGTAAAAAACTAGAAGTCTCTTCAATGTCTCGTTATTGAGATTTCTTGCTGATTAACTTGCTTGCTTGCTTGCTTGTTTGCTTACAGAAAGCGTATTTTGCGATTTTCTCAGCAATGCCACAACCAATTTGAAATCTGTTTTTTGAAAATGATGTAAAATTTCAGGCACAAACTTTTCTTCTGTGACTTTTTATATCCAATTTTGCTTTGTTTTCTCACAAAATGCGAAACCAATAGATTCACACGTGAAAACGGTGTGAATATAAAAAATTCAAATATTAACCACGTGTTCTTTATGTCAAAAAAAATTACAATCCAATTAAATTTTTTCAACCTTTCTTAAAGCTCCTTGATATTTCTGTTATCAATTACCATACCAATTAAATCTATTTATTACTTCCAAGTATGTAATTAAGAAAAAAAAGTTTATAATTAAAGAAAGCCAAGCATTTGAGAAGAAGAACTCAAAAGTTAATTAAAATTCAAAATGAATATGAACACAGCTCTAAAATTAGAAAGAACTTTGGCAGTAATCAAGCCTCATGCTTTTCATCATTATTCATCAATTCTTCGTCAAATTCTTCTTTCAGGATTTCAAATTCTTCAGGTTTGTTGAGAGGAAATTGATTTGAAATTTCATTCAATTTGACATTGATAAACCTTATTATTCATCCCTAAAAGGAGCGCTGTATTAAATTGAGTGCCGAGCAAGCAGAAAATTTCTTCAAATATCAGAGGCAGAATGAAAAGAAAAGCAGAGAGGAAATCTCAATGGAAATCATGGAATTAAGTTCTAGTCCACTTATTGCTCTCTGCTTGGCAAAGGAAAATGCAATAACATCATTGATAGATCTCATGGGACCAGAAGATTGTTCAGTAGCACGAGATAAGGCGCCCACGAGCTTACGCGCATTGTATGGTGATGACAATGGTAATGTAATGAAAAATGCCATACACGGATCAAAATGTGCAATTGATGCTCAACATGAATTACATTTCTTCTTCTCGAATAGTAAGCACGTAGGATGTTGAAATTTATATTAAAAAAATTACATTCGCATTCTTATTGCAGTGCTTCCTGAAACCATTTCTTGTGATGTTGTTGCTATTCAGGATTATCTGAGTCAGAAAATTATTCATCCGTTAACTGATGCATTGTATGAACTATTGAAAATCAAGCCAGTTGAACCATTGGAATGGATTGCAAAATATATACTTGATCACAATACTAATCAACCATTGATGTATTCTGGATGTACAGATATTTTCAACCTGATTGATGAATTACGAATGGATGAGCAGAATCAAGCACAATACGAAGAAATGAATTTGAAAAAATTAAACTGTGGATGCTCAACGGCATCAACAAGCAGTTTATCTTCGTCGTGATTGAATTTTATTGTTTGTAATCGATTTCCTAGTAAAATTTCCAGTTAAGTTCTGTTTAACATTGTTTCTCACTTCCAGATAGCAAAAAATAAATTGAAAATTGGAAAATATTTGGCTCAAACAGACAAAAACATAAATTTTAATATAAATAAACTTTTTTTCTGATTGCAAAACTTTCTCATGCTTATGGCAATTCAGGAATAAATAATAGAAGTGAAAAAAGGCTGAGTTTTCATAAATAAACATTCTAAAATATTTTACTAAAAGTGAAAATTAAAAATTCATTGAAAATAATTTTTCATTAACTTTATGTTTTGAGATTTAAGGTTAAGAAGTTTTGGGGAGAGGCTGTAAGCCAACAAGTTTTTGTGACGATTAATGATCAATTAAAAATTAATTTTCATTTGAATTTTCGCAGATAAAAATTTGAACTTTAAAAACAAGGAACAAGAATTCGACTAGGTTGCAAGCTAGCGGTTTTTCGAATTTTCAATGTAGTATTTTTAAACTGTTTTTTTTAGATATTAAATGCTAGCTTAGAGTTTGGAACTGTAATCAATAATCAATTTCAATTCCAATTTATTCATCTTTAATTGTGCAACAGTGAAACAAAAATCTTTAAGCGCTTCAATTTTATTCTTAATATTAATTCTTAAATCTATATTATGTTCGCAAGCTCAGGATGTATCGCCTAATCTTCACTAAGCAGTTATGTGTCCAGCAGCCAATTAAAAACTCTTAAGATCTTAAGATAATTGTCAAACTTCATTGAAAATAATGATTGATCAGCTCTAGAACTTTCAAAAATCATAAATATTTTAATTCTCGAAATTCAAAAATCTGTAAAAATAATTTAATTCTAATTTAAACTCAAACTTTAAAAGGATTTTCAAAACTTACCGAAAATGTTCAGTCAACTTTTCGCATCAATATTTTATCTGATATCTCTCTTATTCTCAAATGTCTTTTAAAGTCTATCCAAACAGAAAACTTTTGCAAATTTCATGAAATATTGAAGATAAAATTTAGCAAATCCATCCGCCCACGAACGACATTACATTTATTTTGATAAAAATCGCAGCACTGACGATGAATTTCCATAACGGGGGAGGCAAAAGAATCGTGGGAACATTCTAGCCATTGAAAATATGGAAGGGAATTTTCTAAAAAGCAATCATTTTTCATCGTTATTTGTTCATAATTTTCTAGCAACAAGAATTATCATAATTCAAGTGGGTGTATTTTATATCCCAATTTTCCAACAAAATGTATGTGCGTACACGACATTTTATTGTGTGGGTTGAGAGTTATCAACAATCTAGTATAATAAGTATGTTAGTAATGAGCGATCAGCACAATGCAAGTGAGTCGTTCAACTCAATATAATGCGGATTAAAAATCATTCTTAACATTCCCTTCGTTTATAATTTGCGCAAAATTGTTTATTTAGGCACACAAAATGCGGAAGGAAGGACACAAGCGGCATGTGCATCACCGACGCTTCGATATTTATGCTCACATACGAAAATTCTCTCAAGAGTTCTTGAGAAACTCAAACTCTTTGTTTATTAACATTTTTCACACGACATATTTATTATTTTTTTGCATAAATTATATCCAGGCGCTGTTTTTTAAGTTCCCACCACAGATTCACATAAAAAATGCTTCTTATTAGTTGGACAAATGAATTCTTAATTGTATAATCACCCTCGAATTTTTTTTCTACCATTTCTTTTCATTATTCTTATTTTTTATTTGTTCTTGTCGTCGTCATCATCACTCGTCATTGTGACTGTGTGCATATCATAATTTTATTCAAATGGAACAGTGAAATGAAATTTTCGGTGCTGCTCACCTAAACTTAGTCAGTATGAAAAACAGAGATGTAGTCAGGAAATCTATAAGGTGGTCTTTAAAGTTTGTTTTTGAACTGGATTTTTTGGGTTAGTCAGGATTGAATTTCCTGCACCTGCAACTCCATCTACGCTGGATCTATAATCGTGTGAAGTACTGCTCAAAGTATGGTTCGCAACACAATACTGTGTCGACTAAACCATCGGAGAATGTTGCTATTTAAAAACCTTGAGGAACACTGCTCTAGAGTTACGATCTAAGTAAGGGGTAGGTTCAAGTAGATACCAAAAATTTTAATCATTTATAAGCGATCCTGTCTGTGCAAGTTTAAGGCTGAATGATTAAGCACCAAATCAGAGACGTATCCTTTTGTAAAGCTATGTGTTCGATTCCTCCTCAATATATATCTTTTATTAATTAAATAGAACTATATAGACATGACATAAATTCAAACAAGGAGGGGATGTTAACTCTTAATTTTTTTGTGACCTCCTAAATACCAACTGGTTAAGTGAGCTTCGTTCTTAAATTTAATGCCCTTGAATAAAATTATCATGAAATGCTCATTAATGAACGAGTAAGTACATAAGATCATCACAACATACAAATTGTTCCGTGATGTGTGAAAAGAAATTTATTTTCTTGCATTAATTTGGGTGCAATATGTTGCTTGAATTCTGTCATTTCCATGGTTGGACGAATTTTAAGCTACAAGAATATTTGTGCAATATGAGAATTGAAGTTATGTGAGCATTCAAAATGATGTTCATTGAAGAGAGAGAAAGGGAACGATAGAACAATAAAACTTTCAGTTGTTGTCCTTCCTTATACATGCTATAAATTTCATGATGCTGATCCCTTTTGAATTTTTGAATATGCGATGTTGTTTATTGAGGGAATCGAGAGTGTCATTTGGAAGATATATTGAATTAATGGCGCATTTGTATTTGGAAGGTTATTGGCAGGAATATTAATTCATATAAAAAACTGACTATTTAACGTATTCTTGGATTTTGAATTATTTTAGCAATTTTAAAATTCAAAAAATACGTTAAAATTGAACAAAATTTATGCCATTCCATCTTGTTTGTCGAATTGAATATCATCATACACATACTGTAAAATCCATCCGATTACATAAGACAAACTAAGCTAATAAGCACAAACAGGAAAGGATAAAATTTTGAAAAATACCTTTACATGCAAGCATATTTTATGGTAATTTAACTGAAGGTGCATCATCAGCATAGTCTTCTATCTCTCCCCCTCTAAAAACTTCTTCCTTGTTTTATTTTATCCATGAGAAAAAAATGCGGTCGATGGGAATATTTCATGATATAAGCTAGCTTTCAAAAAGTCTCCCTTTTCTTCTTCATTTGCTTACCTCTATGTGCATCCATAAAATAATAAAAGAAGATGAGTTGATTGAGAAATTTTACCGTAAGACGAGGATAGAATAAGGAAGTAAATGAAATGTAAAAGGGGAAGTTAAATAAATGACTTTAAGAAGCTGTATGCAATCAAAATTAAAAAGTTGATACAATTCTAAACGAGAGGAAAGGACAGGAATTCTACCTACCTATGGGAAAATTGTACATCCTATTCATTGATGTTGTCCTGCATTGGAATTTTATATTTTTAGTTCTCATCTGAATTATTTTCACGTGGGATTTTGAATAAGTTCCCGTGAGATTTCTTATTCTCTGCTTCAATTTCAATTTCAATTGACCAAATGGAAATGAAAAAAAAATAAAATAAAAGAAACAAAAAGTAAAGAGTGAAAATTCCCATGCTCAGGTCATTAATTTTATTTTCACTTGAAAAATGCTTTAGAGGCATTAGCATCAAGTACAAATAATTTTTTTATAGGCGTAATTAAGTATTCGTTATAAGCTTGTCTCATGTATTTAAATTATAATATGATAATTGATGGGCAATTCTAATAAAATAAGTGCCGTTACTGATTTGTAATTGATCGACTTATAATTCACAGTTCGTTGAATAAACAGTATCCGAAGGGGGTCCTCGATTTGAATGAAATTTTAATTATTTAAATCGATCTTACAAAATCTTAAATCATTTAAAAATATAATTTTTTAATTCAAACTGTACGAATCGACAATTATTCAAACCATGGACCCCCAAAATACTAATACTCCTGATCAATTGAATTTATAAGAATCAACCAAAGAAGCCTTAATAATGTGTGAATCTGAGATCAAAGACATTTGTCTGCATTAGCACTTCTCGTCTATCTTGATTCAAGAGAATACATCAAGGCATAATATTGATTTTTTTAATTTTCACACCATTACCTTTTGAATTGACACAGATATTGCTTAGCAGGCATAAAGGCTAGATATTATGAAAATGTATGTCAGAAGTGCAATAGAATTTTTTATCACACGATGTAATTACAAATGTGTGTTGTGTGCTGTGCAACCACAAACTGTGCCGCTACAAGAAATAAGTATTAAGAAAATGAATTGGAATCGCATTCGTCTTATAAAAAATTCTTTTATGACGACATTTCGAACGTAACATGAATTTTTATGTTTGGTCGCAATGTTACGCAATTATCGATAGGTTTAGGCTTGTTATACACATTCAGTTCCCGCTGCTAATAAATTTTTATATTTTTAGCTGAATTTCGTTGGAAATTGATGTGTTTGTTGATTCATTTTGCACGGATTGTTTGCTGCATGGATGGCTATGTACTCAAGACTTAGTAGATTAACAGATTTGGTCATGTTCATTTGGTAAAGCTTCAGATTTTGAATTACTGTTTACAAAAATAACTGAAATGTAAAGTTTAAGTTTTTAATGCAGGATCCAACTAAATCATTATTATTATTGCATTGATCTTTACTTTCTTATTAGCAAAATGACTTTGAGTTTATAGATCCATTTCAATCAAAATTGACAAAAGACAACCAAAAAATCTGGCATATTCACACTAAATTGGATACAAAATAGCAGTTAATTAATTCAATTCAAATCAGTTCCATTTAACACAAGAAAGTCATGAGTCATTTCACTAAATAGACCGGCAAAAATGCGCCCAAATTTATCCACATCAACGACCTTCCCAACTGGCTATTTTGGCCTCGATTAAAAAGAATTCGTTTTCTTCATTTCATTTGGAAGTGCATTCATTATTTGTTTTTATTTTTTCACGAACCGAGCCTTACTTGCCACTGAGTTGTGTATATTACCATCACACATAAAGCATCTGTCAATCATTAATGACGATTGTGTGCTATGACTTACCTGTCGGGTATATAAAAACGCATACACACAAAGAGAAATATTCATAAGCCATGTACTTTATGGATTTTTTTTTCTCTTCTGTCTTCCTCAATATTATTTGAGTGTCTACGACAATGCAATGACGATAGGGAATTTTTACGGCAATGAATATTTCATTCTCACTCCAGATACTCGTTTTTAATGCATACAGGAATTAACATAGTAAATGTTGATCAAATAATGACAAATACGATGACAGCAGCAATCATTAAGCACATGAACAATTAAGTTAGTCTTAAGAATTAAATAAGTCAATAAAAAATATTGACTCTAGTATGAAAAATGGCAATTCCATGTCAACAAAATTGCAAATAATGTTCAATAGACGCAGACATGCCCATAAGAGAGCGAATATATTAATCTCATTTGAATCACCCTGCAAAAAATTGTCTATGGATGAGGTTCAATATTTAAGCCATACAAGCGTGTATGCATGTATATATTTCCAATATAAACGTATTTGAGGATTGGTTCCATAACGTATTTTTTTACTTACTCTCTTAGCTCTATTACTTATTATGAATGAGTTGGTTGAACGCGCATTTGTATATTCTGTGGGAATAGTCGTTATAAACTGTATGTGAAGAGGTATTCTGATGTTATTCATTACTGCTTGGGTAGGGTTGAGTTGAGCATTTTATAGATGTTTTATTTGCTTGCTGGACCTTACTGGATCTACAGATTATTCTGGAAAAATCAAATTTAATTAAAATTCTCATGACTTGTTGTTGATTCAGCAATAGAGTTACAGATAGCTATTAAAATCCAGTAATTAACAGCCATCCATTAACACAGTCATTAACCCTAACTATTCAACACAACAAAGAATCTACAATTACGATCGTATGCAGCAACACAAACACATCCATAAAATTAACGTATTTTTCTCTGTCTAAACCTTGAATCATACACAACATTTTTTTTAAGCCATCAAACAGTTTTAACAGCTCGTCGTGACAACTGGCTGTTGCCAGTGATTTTTCTCTCAATTTTGCAAATCTTTCATCGTCTTTGTTTCTCCCCGTGTGGATTATAATTTTTTTGCTCATCGCCAATTTAAAGTGCCGTCATTCCGATATTTTACGATATCTTATCAACTTGTGGATTTTTCATTGTCGTGTGAATTGGATGTGTAGTCTTACTTTTAATTTTTTGAAAAATTGTATAAATAATGAATATTTCGAAAGATATACAAAGTGATAAGTGTAAGAAGGTCTAGCAAGAAACACAAAATAAGAAGAAAAAAAAGGAAGAAAAAATATAAAATTAGCTAATACCTGTAAAAAGATAAAAGTTGATCGTTACAGCCTCTGCAGGTTGAGTAATACGAGTTTTTGTGCTGCAAAAAAAAAAAATAATTGAAAGTGAGTTAAATACACAAACAAGGCAGTAAATGTATTTACAGTGCATTAGAATATGAGTAATTAAGTGCAAGTGCTCATTAAGTATTGTCTTTGGATATAACATACAACGAAGTGGATACGAAAAGGATACGAGACATAACGAAAAGGAAGCTAATTATTGTCATTTAAAAAAAAGTTCCAAATGAGGTGTTTAGTTCTTTAAAAGGAAGTTCTAACACAGCAATTGACCCTTAGACTAGAAATTTTCACTTCCATGTTACCACAAACAGTCGTGAGAATTAACTGAAAACTGGTAAATATAAATTCATAGAATAATCCATCGGCATTAAAACTTCAATTATATGGAAATAGATGAAACGAAATAATTGTTTGAATTGCAATAATCATATCTTTAAATGATCTCATTTGCTTAAAAAAGCAATAAAAGAAACGATTTTCCAAAAATAAAAGAATGATTAAGAAGAGTTTCATTTTAAATGAAATTCCAGCATTTCTTCTTCTTCATCATCCGACTGTTGCCTTGTTGCTGTTTAAGAGTCTCTCAGCACAATTAATGTATACCCGGGAAACAGGTTTTTGGAACTCTTTTTTGCTTAGTTATTGTTGAATAAAAAAAAAATCAACATTTTACGTCGAAAAAAAAAGATCTCTGGAATTACAGTGAAAGTTCTTCGCGTGGGAATGATATCATGCAAAATGAATGTCCACAGCTATGCATTGTCATGACATCCCTTTCGGTCAATTTCAAGAGAAATAAAAAGAATGTTTGTCAAAAACATTTCCTCAGAAAATGTCAGTGATTCTCAGTACTTTGTTGTGTTTTTTAAATACAATTTAAAATTCAAATTGGTTGGTTGTGCCATTACCCTTCAAATTCTCGTCGTCATCGTCTTCTTGATCATCATCGTTATTCCTTCTTTACATCTCCGTCTTTTTTATTCTTTCATTTCCAAGTTCTCTCTATCTGTATAGTTCAGACAACAACGAACAGCAGAGAAAAATCAGAAAGAAATTATTATAAATTTATTCTTATTAATTTCATCATCTCAAATTCTGCTGGTGCCTGAGAAATGAAATTATAGTGAACGGCAACAGATAAAGGAGAAATTCATCCACGCTTCAAATTCATATATTTTTTTTCTATATAGTTATTTCAAATTACTGTTATTAATGTATAATTCGTTATTATATCGAGAACATAAATAATTCAGTAGATTCCTTTATACCATGGTCATCATAACTATGTGTTGTCTATTTATTTTTGAAACGATGATTTCAATCGATTGGCTATCGTAGCGATTCCGAGAATAAAATGATGATGATACCTTGCCATGACGAGACAATACTTTTCTTGTCTAATCCGTTCACGTATTTTAAGGTGAATCAGTGAATACATAAACAGTAATTTTTTGCCTGAATTAGTCTTTACAGGAAATAAAAAGAAAAATTTTAGGTTTATGAAAATGCCGATTAACTTCCATTTAACCTCAAATTTTTTTTCTAAACAATCCAACTGCTGTTGTTGAGATAATTCATTTAAAGGTATATCCATCAATTAAAGTGTTGTTGTCTATAATCTCTGCACGTTCAATTAAGACAATGCTACAATAATTTTCATAAATCTCTTGAGGAAGGTTTACCTTAATGTGAAATGCGTTTTCAACTCTCACCAAATAATTCCTAAAGCAACCGCAATAATAATTGTAATAGCAAGGCACCCATTATTTTGAAGCGAAATTTGCTCAATTAAGGTCAGAGCTTCGCAGAGAAGCATGAGTAGTGATTCTTGATAGACAGTTTTTGTGATTTTAGTTAAGAGATATTAATCTGATAGATTAAAAGATTTAATCACTTACCATCATTTTTAATAACATTAAATAAGCACAACAAGCTAGATAAAATATTATTAAACTTTAGCTTAAAGTTAAAAAATGCTGAATTCAACTGAATATGGCTCAATTAAGCAGAATATGGCTCAATTCAGCTGAATATGGCTCAAACCAATTCGCTACAAAACGAAATTTTCAAGTGTTATTTAATCTCTCAAGCCAAATGAAAACCACAATCAATCTATTAATCCACACCAGTTGGCAACAAAGCCATATCAACAGCATATTTCTTGGCACACAATGTCTCTTTATCACAAAAAACAGTAGGATAGAGATTTAAGGTTTCTTATCGTGATTTCCGTTGAGTATAATCACATGTCAGTGTTCTGTACAGACGATAAAAACCTTTGTTCCATATCTCTCTTTTGTGTTATGATAAAAATGTCAGACGAAAGAGTAAAACCATAAAATATTCTACTTCTTCATCTTTTCCATTTTAACTTGTCTAATGTGACACTTGAATATTTTCTCTTTGTGGATGTGCTTTTTTTGCTCATGATTATAAAAACTGTACAGTCAGATGATAAAAATTGCTGCAGATGAAATTAAATCAAATCTTTCCTTGATTGAGGTAGAATGTTGGCACAAGCAATTGATTTTTATTGCATGTCATGATGAGCGTAATTAAATGAATTAGAGAATTTAGCTAAGTCAATGTAGGTATGCTAGATTTATATTCATATCTTTGTAAATAGTAGAAAATGATAAATAGATAATAAAATCATTTGCACTATAAAGTCAGCACACAACAGTAGCAATTTATCCGCAATTTAAGTTAAGTGTCAAATATTTGCCAGACTAAAAATAAAGTCAAGAATGTTGTTATCAGATTGGATGAGAACAAAACAACACACAAAGACGTCAGCATTAAGGTAGACCAAGACATTATTTGAAGATGTTATCTCACTTATCATCAAAGTCAGAGTGTTATAGACTGCGTATACAGTTTAATTATATTGCGGATGTTTTGTGCAAATATCATAAGGTCTTATCACATCCATTGCCATGTCCATGATACTTTACCCTTTGCTAAGTATTCCATCCACGTTATACATCTTATAAATCCTTTAATGCTTTCATTTTATTTTTCTTTGAAAATAATACTTTTCAAATATATTGAAGCACTTATCGCAGCACATAAGTGTATGCTTTATCCCATAAATTGTTATCAGACGTAAACGAATTGTAGCTATAAAAATTCACAACTGCTTGATTGTTCATTCAAACGTGACATCCCTTATAATTTGTAGATTCTCACAAATAAACACAATTTGGAGAAATTTTCTGTCGATAGACTGCGTAGGTTCTCAAAAACAGATATTTAGCACAAACGATGATTCATTGACACTAGTGTAAATATTTATAATCGGTCGATGACGTATTATTTATTATTATTTTCTCTTAGTTGGACTTAATTCCGACTGATGTTCAGCCCATGACACAGATTTTTTTCATAATGTGTGGTAGGCATGAGTCATCGGTATGGCGATTGGGATTATTCATGTTATTAGAATAATACTAAGACTTTCCGGTAGAATGAGAATGTGAATGGATCATTACTAAGAAATTTTGGTTATTGAGGATATTCTTGAGGACGTTCATAAAAGACATCGCAGTCCATGACTCATTAAACCTTTAAGAACTTTATCTACGTCACAAGATCATCAATAATTATCATTAATTATCTCCAAACTGTCAATATTGATCTATGACAAATTTTTAAGTCTCACCTTGAGTGTCGATTCTTCAAAACTGATATCCAAACACCAAGGAATTCCATTTGTTATATGATCACCTTCAATTATCTCATAGGTTTAAAAATGTAATCGATTAATGAGTTTTTCCCAAGCATACAGCTATCTTCTTTGTTACGATAATGATTCATCAAGTTATTGTTAATGGCAAATAGCAATATAATAATTGTTCTGACTAGATAGCATGTACTTATAAATACTTTCAGAATGCGAATGCTGAAAAGCCTGTTTTTGTCTTAAATACAGAATGCAGTATATTTATGATTTAGCTCCTTCTCCGTCACTCTCATGCACAATAATTTTTAATGTATTTCTTTGTTTCGCTACGATTTGTAAGAAAGACACTTTATATCACCCTTGTTTCTGCTGCTGCTGCTGTTGCTTTTTTACTCTCGAATACAATTCAGCATGTAATCTCCCTATGCATTCAGGTTTTCTTATTCGAAAAATGTACAAATGAAGGAAAAAATCACGAAAGATGAATTCAAACTTGATTTCAAAATATTTTTCTATTAAGCTCCTATGAGTAGCTCTCTACTGCTTCAGACTTTATTAACCTTTTGTGATGCGGTAATTGCATTTTAAAATTTTATTTTTAACAGTCAAAAATAATTTGATTTTTATTTTAAAAGACAAAAAAATTTGAATTTAAAATGTTCGTTGAGAAATGCAAATTAAAATTTAACGGATTTTTCATAGGATCCATCATAATAAAAAGCACTTGTGTAACTAAATCAAGTCATTCGCTAATGAACTTTCTCAGCTCAAGGTGTTCCTTATAAAGACATAGTTTAGACACAACTGCCTTAGATTATACGAAAGTAATGTTTTTCTCACTCGGCGATTTTGCGAAATATAAATGAAATTTTTCTCCAACCTTTCTTGTCGCTTTAGTGGTTTTATGGAATTTTGAATAGTTTTTTGTGTGTGTATTTTTCATACAGAAGTGTCATGCTGCATATCTGTCTGTATGGCAGCAAATACTCATGGTAGATTTATTTCATTTGAAGAGTTTAAATTTATTCATAGAGAATTAATTCACATCCACAAAAAAGTGAACATTCATGCTGTATATTGTAATTGACAGACGTGAAGAGCCGTCCTGACACTTGTGTGAAATTATAAAAAAAAAACAGAATTTTTATGTGCGGAAAATTGAATTAAAATTTTATAGAAATTCATGGCTTGATAGTTCAATTTATTTTATCAACGCCTGTGACTGACTCTCTAGTGTACTGACCATATTTTAATCAAGTCAACATAATACTTGCTCGTAACTCTCTCTTTTCAACTATGCTGCATACTTATTTAGTAATGTTCGTCCTGAAAATTAATCACTCTCATGAGCTGTGCATAAACAATGAAGTTAGCCTTGAATGAAGTTCTTACAAAGAAAAATAAAATTAATCATGAAACAGCCGAGCATGCATGTTTACTCCTAGTATAGTGCTGCACACTTCAACAGCAAAAAGACAGAAATAATAAAAATTCAATATAAACAACCGATGACTGACGGCGATTCGACTACTAAACTATCAACTTGTTTGAATGTGGAAAGAGAAGTAAATATATGTCGTCATATTATCCAATATTTATTCAATATGCATAACTTAAATGCAAATTTTAAGATATTAAATTCTCAGATGAAG